GCAGTAGACTTGATATACCTTGACTTTAGCAAGAGTTTTGATACTGCCTCCCACATTTTTGCAAGCAACCTAAGGAAGTATGAGTTTGATGAATGAACTGTAAGGTGGTCAGAAAACTGGCTGGATGGTTGGGGTTAAATGGGCTCTAAATGGTTTGATGTCTAGTTGGTAGCTATATCAAGTGGAGTACCCCAGGGGTCAGTCCTGGAGCCAGTTTTATTCAATATATTCATCAACCACCTGGAAGACTGGATGGAGTGCACCCTCAGCAAGTCTGCACATGACACCAAGCTGTGGGGAGTAGTAGATAAGCTGGAGTGTAGAGATAGGGTTCAGAGAGACCTAGACAAATTGAAGGATTGGACCAAAAGAAATCTCTTGAAGTTCAATAATGACAAGAGCAGAGTCCTGCCATTATGATGGAACAATCCCAGGCACCAGTACACGCTGGGGACCGGCTAGCTAAACAGCAGCTCTGCAGAAAATGACCTGGGAGTTACAGTGGACAATAAGCTGAATATGAGTCAATATTGTGCCCTTGTTGCGAAAAAGGCTAATGGCATACTGAGCTGCATTAGAAGGTGGATTGTCAGCAGATCAAGGGAAGTGATTCTTCCCCTCTATTCTGTACTGGTGAGGCCACATCTAGAGTACTGTGTCCAGTTTTGGGCCCCCCTCACTACAGAAAAGATGTGGAAAAATTGGAGAGTCCAGTGGAGGGCAATGAAAATCGTTAGAGGTCTGGGACATATGACTTCTGAGGAGAGGCTGAGGGAACTGGGCTTATTTTGTCTGAAGAAGAGAAGACTTAAGAGGATTTCATAACAGCCTTCAACTACCTGAAGGGTGGTTTCAAAAAGGATGGTGCTAGACTGTTCTTAGTCATGGCAGATAACAGAATAAGGAGCAATGGGAATCACAGCAAGGGAAGCTTACATTAGATATAAAGAAAAACTCTCTCTCACTGGGAGGGTAGTAAAGCACTGGAACAGGCTATCCAGTGAGATTGTAGATTCTCCATCTTTGGAGGTTTTTAAGTCCTGGATAGACAAAGTCATGGCTGGGATTATATACTTGGGGTGGTCCTGCTTTGAGCAGGGAGTTGAATTAGATGATCTCCCTTCCAACCCTTATTTTCTATAATTCTATGATTTACAGATGGGCCAACTGGAGGCAGCCCTTCTTATGAGCCTGGGATGAAGCTCAGTCTCACACCAGTAGAACATGGTAAGACTCCTTACATTCCCTGCAACTCCCTGTCTATGGTGGCAGAACACTCCATCCCATCATTATCAGTGATTCCTGAAGATCTATTTCCAAGTTGCAACCTCACAAAAATAGTCCCATTTCCATTCCAACCTCTTCTGTAATTCCAAAATGTTCCTTTTTCTTGAATTATGCATAATATGGAGCATTTAATATCCAAATATATCAAATTATCTGCTTTCAAGTAAAACAGATTATTTGTCACATCAAAAATTTGAATGGTAAGGTTTTTAATTATTTCAGTGTTAAAGTTTGCAATGATGACAATATTTCTTCAGAAATGGTTCCAAAATTACACGGGTCAGTGAAATCAAACCATTTTCCCCAAACCTTGCAACATGTATTTCTCAGATTCTATTTCTCAGGAGTTCTGGCATCTTGCCCAGACTTATTATCCTTTTATCTGCTAGAGCTGTCAGTTACAGTCCCTCTAGATGTGCATGTAAAAGCGCAATGCAATCTGATGCTCAATCCACACAATAGTGTTTCCTGCCATGCCACATATGCCTGGCAGGAGGCATGGTAATGGGATTACAAATCAGATCCCCTCACATCTAACTGCTGGTGCAGGGGGAGCCCAGTATCATGATCCTGGCAAGAAGCCAGCTCAGCTGTGGGCTCTCAGCTGCAGCTGCAGGGAGTCTAGCCATAGCTCTAGGCTCCCAGCCACATGAGTGTTTGCAAGGGCCGCAAATGGTCCTGAGGCTGAGAATCAACAGCAGATGCAGGCTTTCACTTGGAGCACCCCTGTGGCTGGAAGCCCATGTTGGCTGTATACTACCAGATGAAGGAAGGCTTGGAGAGCCCCCACAAGCCCATATCAACTGGGGACTCCCAGTCCTGGGTATGCCTGGGATGCTCCCACAACTGAGAGCCTTTTTATCTGAGTTCCCAATTACAGGGGCAAGCTCCCAAGTTTGGGGGTACACATAGGCCCATGGCTTCAAGCCCCAAACAGCAGACAGGGCTCCCAGCCACAGGGGCCCCTTGCCACATGTTCAATTAATGGCATGATAGGAACAAGCCACAAAGTTATTACACGTATTTTGTTGCATAACTTTGTGACTTATACCTTCTTTTATCACACCATTAATTGATTGAATGTGTGGCCAGGTGACAAATTAAGGCATGATTAACTGGTTAATCACATCTTAAAGTGTAATGTGTAGATGGAGCCTTACATGTAGCACTCCCTGATCAGCCCACAAAAAATCATGGCAACCAATAGTCCAGAAAAGGAAGCTAGTTGGGTCTTTTACAGGACTTCAAGATTGCTCTCTGTGGCTCTGGACAGATGTTCACTTCTAGTGGTAAGAATGTCTGTGCAATTCCTACCACTGGAAAAATAGCCCAAATGTTGGAGGATACATACATTTCAATCCCCTAGCTGGAGAGCTACACAGACAAGCTCTCCAGCCAGAGGCACTAGAGAGCTACTCTTTAGATCACCCTAGTCCTTAGGGGTGTCCACTGATTGACAATATGCCCTCTTGATGCCTGGGAAGGGAACAGGCTGTCAATAGGCAGTTGGCAGCTGCTGAAGAACAACAGCTGCCACAAACACCCTGCAGAGGGTTCCAGCCCCAGGAGAATACACCCTCCATCCACCCTCCCAGTTCCCAACATGGGATTATAGCAACCCTGGAGGGGGGGCATTTTCCCACAGCAGGAAGGCTCCTGGAACTAGAACCCATGGGAAGGTATCTCTGGGTCAAACAAGAGAACTGCAGGGAGCAGGGTACTCTTCTTCTATGAAGGCAACACTGCAAGAGCCCTGGGAGTGTTGATGCTGTGATGCAGGTTCCTCCTGTCCTCTGAAATCCTTTGGGTTGAACCAGAGGATTGCAGGGGGTAGGAGGCCATTCTCTTTCAGTGGCAATGCTACTGGCAATGCTCCTGGAAGCATTGCTACCGTGGAGGAAATCCCTCCCCCGACCTCTGCATTCCTCTGGGTAAACCTGGAGGAAAGCAGTAGACTAGAAGCCATTCTCCCTGGTGTCAACTTTTTCTTGGCTCCGGGAAGGTTTCCGCTACAGAAGAATGCCCCCTGCAAATCAGCTGATTGGGAGGAAGGAGGGTGAATTTTCCAAGTTAAGGTTCCCACAGGGCTCCCTGACAGCTTACCTCTCTGGATGAGCTATCGGGGAGCCAGTGCTCTTCTTCCCTCCCTCTCCCATGGCCTATGATTTTAGGATCCATGAACGGTGAGGAAGAAGGACAAGGGACGGGATTTTCAGCATCCCTTTACCTGTTCATCAGCATTTATCCAAGCCAGGTCTCTCCTTCAAAACAGAGACCACTCCTTCCCCACTCTCTAGGTTGAGAGAAGCCAGGAAAAGCTCTATCACATGTCCTTGTGCTGCCAGAGTGGAGATCCCAAGTCTTTTATACAGTTAGTCCTTGCTTCCTGCAAATTCCACAAAGTTTAGTGACAGACTTGCGGCTCATCCCACATGGGAAAGCCCTCTTTGTTTGTCTCATGTAATGGTTTAAGGCAGGTCCCCAAGCATTACCCATTGTTATTTCTAGAAGCTATGTTCTAGGCCAATGGTGCTGCTTCTTATAAACACCTTCAGATCAGTTGTTCCTGCCATGATTACTCCCAACAGATTGAAGGAAGCTAGTTAACTAAAAACATGTGCATATGTTGTTTACAGGGTTGTGCTCATTGAATATTCCCTCCTGAAAATTAAAATGAACTAACCTTTTCAGTTATTTTTCCACAATTAGTCACTCTGAGATGTAGGGATATGAAAGGTTAAATGATTAATCATTTAATAGACAACTGCAGTGATAACTGGCTGTCTTACCCCAGTTATCCTTTACCTCCAGGCAGGTGCAGTCTAGCAAGAAAGAAGGGACAGAAGTCAGGTGATGACCCAGCAGGAATCAGAAGGCAGCAGGACAGGCAAGGGGAGGGAGGGAGGGAAGTGGGGTGGGGGTTGGACGAGTACCCATAGCCTAAGGGGAAAACAGCCAGCAGCCTTATCACTCATCAATTAATCAATTAGCTGTCTTTCACAGGTGCTCCTTCCCTCTCAGGGCAGGGCTTCACATGGGCTGTGTTGTGTGGATGGGCCTGCTTCCTCCCTGCTTCTCTCAGTCAAAGGCCCAGGAGCAGCTCCCAGCAGCAGCTGTTGTGTTATCAGTTAAACATCTAACCAATATAGCTTGAGGAGGTTAAATATTTTTAAATATTTACATCCCTTGTGAGGTGGTGCTTGAACACCTCTCATCCTTACAGAAGTAGCTAAAGAGGTTGCTTCCAAACTCCATGCATCATCTGGGACTACTGAGTGGCCAAAGCCACACCCATTACACCTGTATCCTCAGCTTTCTGCCCCAAACTCCCTGACATCTCTGAATGTACTATTCAGAGACAGGAGATATATGGTCCTCTTTTTAAAGAGTGGCTATGAACAAAGACTTTGACCAAAATATTTATGAAACTTTGGGAAATCTTTCAGGTAGGCTTTCCTTGTCTTCATTTTGCAAACCATTTCAAATCCACATGTGCTGAGAGAACAATCACTAAACATAACAATCCTTTAAGCTTCTATATTCTTTGAGATTCTACTTTCACTTGCATCTAATTTATAATGTTAAGATTCTATTGATTTCATTGGAGATACCCATATCATGCTCTTCTGTAAGTGAGAGCTGTATATCTATATCATGTCTCCTCAGATTTTCTATATCAGGCAAAAAAAAGATTAGTTTGTACAGAGACTCACCATGTCTGTGTCTGAAACAGGTCCAAAACTGGTCACATAGATGTTAGTGAAGACTTCTGTTATACTATCTAATGTAAGAAGAGAAAAAACAAACATTATTAGCATCCTTTTTTTTTTTATTCTATACACAAAGTGATGGGAAACATTAGGAACTAGATTCTACTCTCAGTTGCATGGTGGTAAATATGGACTAACTCCCCTGATTTCAAAGAACTACTTTGCCATCATATGGATATATGTATGTTACCAAATGAGAATTTGGCCCTGTGTGCTTCATTTTTGTTACAGAACTGTGAAACAGCAAAATGCAGACATCTTTCTCATCTTTATAGCCAGCAAAATAATTGCACTGCCTGGTATTTAATAAGGTACTATAATTCTAAACACAAAATGCCTTTGCTGGAGAGCTATTCTTCCTATTGTGGCAGACCACTGCTGTTAAGGCTTTCTAATTCAAGGCTATTTTTTTCAGACTGAATAGCTTGTTCAAAGCCAAAGACAAGAAAGAGCTTACAACACAATTACTAACAGCACTAAAAATAACTACTCAATGGTGTCCTACATTTTAATTAGATACATTTTTAAATGGTACATGTTTGAACTTAATAGTCCCTTCACTTTATATGCTATGTTACAGAATTTTTGTTGTGGAACTGTAAATACAGCCTGGGAAAAATTTGGCTCCTAAACACTACAGTCAGACAACCATGAAATCAGAATATTAAATATTGTAGGGATAAATAATTACCAAGTTTCCTAGCTTCAGTTTTCAATTAAGTTCAAAACAAAATGAGGTGTGCTAATGGTGATGGGGTACAACTGTAGATATTTCTTAAGTGGTAGCCCACTATCACATAAGTACCAAGGCAACAAGTGTTGCCTGACAGAAATCTTTTAGCTGAAAAAGAAAAAAAAGAATACTTAAATATACTAGAATCTGAGGAAAGGTTGAACAAACTCAGTGCATTTTGTTTGAAGAAAAAGAGATAAGGGACACATGATAGAAACTTTTAAAATTTGAAAAACTGCCATTAAACATAGACAGAAAATGTTCGCTTTGCCACAGAGGGCAGGGCATGAAGCAGTAGGTTTAAACTGCAGCAAAGCAGATTTAGATTAAATCTGATGGGGAAGAGGCTTCTTAGCTACATGAACCACAGGACAGTGAACAAGCTGTTCATGGAAGTTGTAGAACCTCCTTTAAACTCTCTACTGAAGAAGTGGCTGGATAAGCATCCACCTGGTATAATTTATGAACAGTGAAATCCTGTATCTGCCCAGGGGGCTGAATTAGATGAATCTCTTGAGGACTTCCCAATGATCCTGCTATTAACAAGGAATAATAACCTGCCCTTTGCTAGACACAATGCTGCTCTGGGATACAGGAGTAATCACAGGCTGTGTAAACATGTTCAAATAATCCAGGAGAATTTTCCTAGTTTTGTTCTCCTGGTAGAAAAACTTACCTGGAGATGTCTGAACAGATATTTGAATACTAAACGCCTGAAGAGCAGAGAGCTTGCAGTGCTAATGCTGAGTAGCCAGCAAAACTCAGCATGCTCTATAGACTCCCACAGTCTGCACAGAGACAGATGGCTACAGTGCATAGGGCAGCCCTGGTTGGCTGACCCAGACTGCTTAGAATCAGCCTTTGTCTCCTTGAAGCACAATATAGAGATGGTGAGGCAGGTATGTTCTGCTCCCTGCTCAGGGGAAGCAGAGTCCAGTGAGTGAAACACTGTCTCCCCACAGGGGGAGGGGTGCAAATCACCCTAGCATGCTGGAGTACTATGCTGTGGCTTCTCACAGAAGTATATAAACATTTGCTTTCCCAGGAGAAACTGGTTATTCCTAAGTTATTTAACTCTGGTTGTTCCTAGGTTATTTTTCTCTTGGAGCAACTATTTTTGTGCACTGTGGTTTCTCCATGGAGGAACTGAATATCTGTATGTGGCCATAGTGTCTGTTCCATCTTGAGTTTCATATTTGATTGTAACACCCAAGATATACATTGAGAGTATCTTCATTCCTAGTTAAAGCTGTTCTAAAAGCTACCTTTTACCAAAGATGCTGCATAGTCAGATATCATGTTTTATTAAATAAATCAGAGCTGTCAAATTGGCCGGCCATGAGGTACTCAGCCACCACCCATCTCATTGCTTCTGCTACTATGGTTGCTGGGGTCTACAGGCTCCCCATCTCTGCTTCAGCTTCTGTTCCTGCATCTGCCTTTGAGGGTAAGATGATGTGGTGGGAGGCGGCCCATGAAGAGGTCTGCCTTGTCCATGCTGCCCCTACAGCAGGGGGAGGAGATTGGGCTTTGCACAATGTGCATGCATCTGGGAAAGGAACCAGGCTGTGCATGTGGCAGCAGTGGGGGCTGCCTGTGCAGCTCAAGACAGCCATAGAGGACCACCTCTGTATTGTGCAGCCCACACTGTGCACAGCCCACAGGGCATGTGCCCCTCCCCCACCACACAGAAATCAGACAGCCCTAATGAGCCCATAAATGAACCCAAAAATATACATTTTACGTGATAAGTCTAGAATGGAGGAGGGCAGCATAAATGAGTTCCTTACATAATCAAAGATTTTTCTTACATACTGTAATAAACATGTTCATATGTATGTGTGCCATTGCCCTCTACTGGATGAAAACAGAAGTATTAATTTGTGTTTTATATAAGCTTTACATCCTAACAGCTAAGGGGAATACTGTAGTCATTACACAATGAACTCTGTTTATGTGTTTAGTTTTGGGACTGCAAAAGGCAATGCCCTTGCCCAGACTTTGCACTTACAAGAATTCATCCTAAACAATGCTCATTAACTATAAGGAGCAGCCTTATCTAAGCTATTTACAACATCATTAAGGCTCCTTATTTTATTTTATGGAGAGCCTTCTCTCTGTAATAACAGCCTTGAAGCTGACAGCTCCTAGTCAGGTTCAGCAATTATGCATTTAAACAGAATCCAACCATTTTTTTTAAAAGTAGACAGTAAAGCTGCAGAGAGTATATGCACTTAAGCAGTTTATGCACTTTACCAGTAAGGCAGATAACTGAAGTCTGCAGGCCACAGGTAAAAGATTGAGACCAGTGTAGCATCATGCAATTAAGCAAATTGAAAACCTATCCCATATGCCTAGAAGTGGAGTACATTATACACTGTAAACTGCTGTGAACCAAGAGCAGCATATAATTGCAAGAAATATACAAAGGGAACACAAGGAGAAATTGTGCTGGTGCAATCTCTTCTGGGACTTTGTCTTCTGGCAGATGAATAACCCTGTGCTGTCATTTATGATGGCACTTATACACCTCTTTCACAGTCAACAACCAACTGCACATTTGTTTTTATAGTTTTGGATTCCAAGCATCCTTTCCTAGTCACCAGACTACCTATAATGTATTTTCTTATTTTTAATACAATAAATAAAATATGCTTTTTAACTACAAGTTATCCATTTGAGGTACTTTCTGTATTCTGGCACATAGAAGATCCTTCCTTAACATATCCTAAGTATGGCTACATTATTCAAATTATGGTAATGTCTAGGAATTCTCTACAAATACATAACAAAAAGGCACTCCCTACCCCAAAAAGTTTACAATAAAAAATATAGAACAAGGACACCCAAAGCTTCTGGGACTGCCTTGTTCTCAACATGCCAATAAGACTAAGTAGGTTTGGATAAAGCATCCTGGGAAGCGCAAGTATAGTTCAGAAGTGCAGAGACTGCATATTGCTCATGAGAAACTTTCCAGAGTGGATTATACTATCCCAGTGGTCACCTGGCACAGGCCACAGTGAAATGGAAAAGTGACAAGACAGAACACTCTTCAGGGGGCAAAAGAGTGCTTCAGGGATTAATTGTAAAATTTGGCCTGCACTCCACCAGTAACATGCAATCCTAATTATAATTCTACCAATGGTAAAGCATCACTGACCATCTGGTGTTCCAAAAAACCAGGAACAAGGTCCAAATGCAGTTGCAGTGGTGTAACCTGGGGTAACGCCACTAAAGACAACACAGGCACTCTGAAGCTACTGGTCAGGGCTGGATGCCAAAGCAGACACACATCTGCTGGATGCCAAAGCACACATCTGAGCCCATGTGTGCCCTCAGATTCCCCGCAACCGCACCACACCAGGGTGGCCTGTCTCTGGCAGACAAGGATTTGACACACAGGTAAATGAGGTGAGTGAGGGGGAGGGGCAAAGTGCGAGGCCAGCTGCAGGAGATCGGGAAAGGTTTTTGTACCCTCCAGGCCCCATATAGCAGTGCCAGGAGGGATCCGCATGAATAGACCATGCAAACAGGTGCACTATTCTGGGGTGCGCCGGAGATTGCACAGTGTTCACGCAGGGGGGCACACAGAGGGGCCTGAACTGTACACGCCAACGGCCCCGGACGGAGACTTTGGGAGAGTGACAGAGGAGGAATCTTCAACCATGGTACGGGCACGGTGCACAGCCAGGGACCCTACTCCAGTGATGCCTCCCACCCGGGGCTCCTCTGAAGCCTCTACCCAGATGGAGCCCTTGGGAGGGTCAGCACCACCTTGCCCGCCCCACCTGTGGGGGTTGCCTGGTGGGGGCCCTGAGGCCTGGGAGTTTGGGGGGGGGTGGGGCAGACAGGAGTCCCTTCACCTGTTCCATGTGTGCCCAGCTTGAGGCCCTGGAGAGGCAGGTGAGGGAACTCCAGGCAGAGGTTAGCAGGCTGCGGTGGATCAGGGCTGCTGATCATGAGATTGATGGGTACTTTCATTCTCTGCAGGATCACACACCTAGCAGGAAGACAACACAGCAGGGGACCTGATGCAGATGTATGTAAGACGGTCACCTCCAGACAGCTGGGACAACTTCTCTAGTACAGCTGGGGAACAGGTATGAGGCCCATGGCCATGGCATCACTGAAGGACAGTGCAGTAGAGGAAGCCACGTCCACAACCACCACTATGCAGACTGAAGGACAGCTGGACAGCAGGACGAAGAAACGCCACAGAAAGTCACTGTGGTGGGCAACTCCCTCCTGAGAGGAACAGAGGGAGTCATCTGCAGCCCA